TTTTTTAATCATATAAATTGCAAAAATCTTAATTAATGCATGACTAAAAAGATTTTAATACAACATAGAAAATATGTTCATGAGTTTTTTAAATAAAAATAATTTATTTACATGATAAATAAATAATAAAATATGATAATAATAAAAAAATATTAATAATTATTATTATTATAAATAATAATAGTAATAACAATAAGAATAGAATAAAAAAATGTAATATATAAAATAGATAAAAAAATATAATAATAAAAAAGCTAATAATTGAATTAAATCAGGGGGGGTGTAGTTTTAGTTATAGCAGTAAAACTAGGGGGTGTTTAGATTAAGTAAAATTTTAATTAAAAAGTTTGATTTTAAATAATAAACCGATAGCCGATATGTCGACTCATTTAATCATTGGAAGATGGATTTTCTATTAATTATAGAATGTTTGAAATTAATTAGATTTAAAAAGAAATTTGAAATTATGTACCAAGCCGATTATTAGTCTAAATACTAAGATATATTTTTGGTGTTATATATATATATATATATATATATTATATATATAAATATATTATATATAAATATATTATATATATATATATATATATATATATATATATATATATATATATATATATATATATATATATATATATATATATATATATATATATATATATATATATATATATATATATATATATATATATATATATATATATATATATATATATATATATATATATATATATATATATATATATATATATATATATATATATATATATATATATATATATATATATATATATATATATATATATATATATATATATATATATATATATATATATATATATATATATATATATATATATATATATATATATATATAATTTGAAAAAACGTTTGATAGATATAAAAAATATGGTTAATATTTAACTACACTAAAGAGAAACATGTTTTATGTTTTTTTATGGAAAAAAAATCATTTCTATAAAAAAAAATAGCTTAAAGAATCATTAATTTAATTCTAAATTAATCTACTTACTATTCCTAAAATATATTTCAAAATTCCTTAATTAATGACTAAAAAAAATTAACGAATAAATTTTTTATAGAAAATAAAATATTTAATTGTTATATTTAATTATTATCTTAATAAGGCTAAAAAGATTTGTATTTTATTTCTTTTTATTAACATTAATTCCAGTCAAAATTAGATATGTGACCAAATTTAATTAAAATTTTAAAAAAAATACACAAATTAATATACAAACATAAAAATGGTGAAAAACATTTTTTTTGTGTAGTTTTCTTTATAATATTATGTTAATAATTGTTAACGGTAACAACTACATATGGTTAATAAAACTAAATATATTATTAAAAATAAATTTTAAAATAAGAATTATGTACAAAATAATCATAGACAAATAATAAATTGAATTTTGGATTCAAACATCAACCAAAGAAATACATCGAGCAATTAACCCAACAACAAGCAATCATGCACAAGTTTAAATAAGATGGTAAAAGAGAAACCAACCTGAAGTGTCGTGACCAAACTTAAGTTGCTTCCTCCAATCTCCTTTCTTCTTTCCTTTAGTGCAGAGACTTTTTTCAGATTGATGGAGACTTCATGTTTCTTTGTTGTTGTTCTTCGATGTGAAGAACGACAACTTTAGGAGAACTCTACTGAATTGTGGATGAAAAATTATGATGGACAAAAGTCCTTTTTATAGACTGAAAAACTAGGTTGACTTGCTAGAGAAGTAAATTACCAAAATAATTAAAAAAAACCCAAATTTATCTTGACCGGCAAGCTAGTCAATTAGATGTCGGAACGATGCAGGACGACCAATATGGAACAAGTAAAAGAGATTTGATTTTTTTAGTGAATTTTTAGACACTTTTTGATGAAAAATGCATAAAATAAATTAAACATTATTATTAAAAATTGCCTAAAATAGAAAAATGAAAATAATATTTAAATGATAAAAAACATGATTTTTTGAAAGATTTGAATGTAACTTGAAATTGAAATGAAATTAACAAAAATAGAATAAAATAAATCATCAATCCAAATAATTAAAACCCAAAAAGAAATCAAATTTTTGGATTTATAATTATTGTTACCAATTACATTCATTCTCTTCTAAAACAAATATTACTACCTAAAATACAAAAGATAACAAAAAAAATTTAAATTTTTTTGTATTTTAGATTTTTTTTTAGAATAAAAAGTGGAAAAAAAATTTTAATTCATTAATTAAAAATACGAAATTTAATATTTAAAAAATGATTTTTTTTTAATAATTTTTATAAATGGAAATAAAATTAGTAACAATAAACAAAGAAATATAAAAAATGTTAAAAAGTTTACCATGAGAGATTCGAACCCACGACCTTATATTTGCAAGCTTCTTTCCTTATCAATTATGCTATGTTACTTATTCAAAATAAAAAGCCAATTGAAAATACTTGAAGTCGAGCAAATATTTATTTATTCAAAAATACAAATGATCTGATATAGATCATTATATTTTTAAATAGGTTTCGAAGCGAATATTTATTAAAACTCCATAATGTTAATATAATTAAACCAAAAGAATTTTATACTCAGTAAAACCCAAGTTCGAAAATAAATTTGATGGTAGTACTAAGACGGGCAAATTTGGGATATGAACTTGGTTAATCAATAACTTCCTATTGTCGAACTTCTCTTTCAACGTGAGTTTCTGATTCTTCAAGTAAGATTCTTGCTGAATCTTTCTTGACATTTTTAGTCCAATCGCATTCCTTAAGCTCATTTATGATCACGTTCCTGTTGATCATAATCTGCTTGTTCACTAGGTCGAACAACTTGTAACCTCCTGTCGAATAATATCCTACTAGGATCATTTAACTCGATTTGTCATCAAGTTTTTTTCTCAACTGATCTGACATATGTCTATCTGCAATAGATCCAAATACCTACAGATGACTCAAGCTAGGCTTCACACCAAACCAACATTATTCTGGCGTAATTCCTTATAACTTCTTTGTCAGACATCTGTTTAAAATGTATGTTGCAGTCGACACAACTTCACCGTAAACTCTTTAGGTAAATGCTTGCCTTTCAACATACTTCTCACCATATTCATGATGGTTCGATTCGTTCTTTCTGCAGTTCCATTTTGCTGTGGAGTGTAGGGTGGCACCACCTCATGCATAATTCCTTCTGTTTCATAAAACTTGTCGAAGTCTTTCGACATATACTCTCCACCACCATCAATTCTCAAAACTTTGAGCTTTCGACCACTTTGTCTTCACCATAGACTTAAACTTGGAAAATACCTTGATCACTTCACTTTTCTTCTTGATCAGGTAAGTCCACAGTTTCCGACTGAAATCATCTATGAATGTAATAAAATATTTGTTACCTCCCATCAAATCCACCTGAATTGGTCCACATAAATCTGAGTACTTTGAGAGTAACCTTTGACCTACTTCCTGCATCCTTGTTGAAGCTATTCTTGTGTTGCTTCGCATACACATATTTCTCACACACTTCGTTTGGAATATCAATTTCTGGAAGTCCTAAAACCATATTTCTTCTTTTCAATTCTTTGTATTTTGCCTCTTCTTTTTATGAAGCGTCTTAATCAAGTGATTCTAATCCATATTTTACAAGTTCCCAAAGACCTTAAAAACATAATATAACCTTAATCTCTTTCCACCAATTCTCATAGTCACCTTTAAGAATCAAAAGATTTAATGGAAAATTTCCACTTGCATAATTCATCGACATTGATTTTCTTCTTCTTCCCTTGACCGCTCAACCGGAACTCTTGATGCTAGATGTTGGAAATCCACCAAAACCTATGATGAATTTTTATCAATCTTGATGAACAAGATTGTTATCACCACACAATAACGATGAAAAATATGAAAGAAAGAAAGACAATGATTTTCTACAAAGTTTCTTTCTGCCCCACAAACTGTGGAAAACATTGTTATTAACTTGCAACTGCAAATTCTGTGAATACAAGTTGATTACAAAAATAGTGGTTACTCCCTCTAGTTATAGATTTAGGTTAGTTTGCTTTCTAAGCCAAAGTCTAAAACTATAAAAGCTCAAAATACATATTTTAGAACTAAATCAAATCTATCTATTTTAAACCTAAATCAAATCTATCTATTTTAGATCTAAATCAAACTTGTGTGTAACAAACTACTTCCACACTTCGACACTTCTTTGTTTTCTGTCAAGCAAGCTGCTTCGACACAAGAAATTATACTTTTAACATGATGGACCTGGATTTTTTAGGGTTGGACCAAAAAAATCCTATTATAATATATGCCTTAAAATTACCACTCCAGCCCAGTCCTAGATGGGCTTCGGGCTACCCGGTCCTAAACATGATTTTTTAATAAAAAAATAAAAAATAAAAAATCATAATATTTAATATAAAGAAAATAAAAAATTATAATATTTTAAACATAATATATTTTTAAGTACTATATTATCATTTATGTATTTTTAAATACAATACATATTTAAATTTTAGAAAATAATATTCAAATATTTAATATAAGTAAAACTAAATAGAATCCGAAAAAAGAATGTTTATTATATTAATGTATAGTATTTCAAAGAAAAAAATTGAATAGAATAGAGACAAAATTTAGTGAAATGGAAAAAAATAATATGTTATTTTAGAATAACATAATATAAAAATTAATATAATTTAAAAAAAAAAAATCTATAGCTATGCGGCTATAATAGACTATCCATGACCCATAAAGATTAGCCCTAATAGATATCGGGCTTTTTATGACTGGACTAAAAATATCCTTAAAATATAAACTTTATAAGTAAAAGAAAAAAAAATGGTTTAAAAAAAAAGAAGTAACACTAGTGGAGTGGTAACGAAATATCTCTTATCCGAGTCTCGTCTTGTACATTATCTTTGTCCGAAGAAAAGGATAATAGTTAGATAGAGCGCAGAACGCAGCGCGAGAGAGCAACAATGGCCTTACTGTGTGGTTCACCGTCGGTCTCCTTCCCTTCATCTTCATTCACCCATCACAAAAACGCAACAACCAAATCTTCACTTATTGCTTCCCAGTTTCCTCTCCCAACCCTTTCATTGTCAACTCGTACTACCCATTTCTCTCCCTCTTTCATTGTCCGTTCTCAACAGGACACTTCCCTCGTAGAACAAGATCCACGCTTCATCACTGTTGAACCCGAGCCCCGATTTCAAGGCCCGGTATAACTATAACCCCTTTTTTTTTTAATCTTTACTTCAGTTCTCTCCATATGTGCTAATTTTAATGAGTTTGAAATCATGAAACTGAACAAACTAATTATTGCAGGACATTTGGAACACGACGTGGTATCCAAAAGCTTCGGATCATGTCAACACGGAGAAAACATGGTATGTTGTTGATGCGGAAGATAAAATTCTTGGGAGACTGGCATCAACTATTGCGAATCACATCCGAGGCAAGAATCTAGTGACTTATACGCCTAGTGTGGACATGGGTGCATTTGTGATTGTGGTATGTATTTTAAATTGCCAATGGAAGTGATGCTTTTATGGTTTACTACTTCTACTAAGTAATTTCATGTGATGTAGAAATCTGTTAAGGCTCAATATATGGTTTGAACATGTGTTTATAATAAGTGGGGGGAATGCTCACCCTACAAGCCGGTTTTGTTGGGATGAGTTAGACCAAACCCTATCTCTTAACAAAGTCAATTGCTACTTGGATATCTTTCTTGTTTACTTTTCTTTTGGTTTTAAATGGGTGAAAAAGAGAGTGGATAGTTAACAAGCCTCTATGCATGATGGACTATTTTGTAAGTTGAAGCAGTCATGTTGAGTTGAAAATCTGAAATTTACTTATAATTGAAGGGTACTTTTTGCATTTTAGTATTTACTTTTTGTGTTAGATCACCATGAAATGACATAAAGGCTCCGTGGGTGTCATATTCCCTCAAATTGTCATTATTCTTATGATAGAAATTGGTACTATTTGTTTGGAGAAAAAAGAGTGATAAACCCCATTTGCAAACTCAAGGGGATGCAATGCGATGCGTCTCCTTATGCTCAAAAGCCTTGTCACATTCCATGTTTATATCTGCCCCCTCTAATACATTTAGTTTAATTTCTCTTTGGACAATTACTGTTATTGATGATTTCTGTTATTGATGATTTCTGTTATTGATGATTTCTTCTGATTCTACCCCTTTTTGATCTTACAAGAATAATTGGATAGGATCTTCCTATCTTAATTACAATCTTATGTTTTATGATCTTGTTATCATCTCCTAATCTTATGCAAGATCTCGATCTTGACAACCTTGATTCCAATATCTTTTTACAACTCTTCCTCTTCCTATCCTAAATATTCGTAATGTATGGTTTACTACCACATTCTTAGCTTTTTTCTATAATAATGTTGAGCAAAAAAAGCACTCATTTTTTTGGTCTTAAATATAAGCAAATATAACTTACTTTCACTCTATTTAATTAATAATGTCTATCAAGATACGAGGGAGCATGTTTGAATGTTTCTCTTTTTATTTATCATACTGGGAAGCTGCATGTTAAGGACAACGCTTCTATTAACTTTCTATAGATGTAAGGAAATAGATTGTAAGGACTTATGACCTGCGGACCGTTTTCAATTTTCCATGATAAATATTTGCTTTTGACATGAATGTCAATGCTTAGCAGCTCTACCCTTCCCTTGAATTTTTATGCTAGGAATATTGTCAATAACATTTTGTTTTCATACCAGGACTCTATTATTATTATAATTGTAATTGGGTTTGTGTAGGTAAATGCAGAAAAGGTTGCTGTAAGTGGGAAAAAGAGGACACAAAAGCTTTATCGGAGGCACTCAGGTCGACCTGGTGGTATGACAGTCGAGACATTTGATCAGCTGCAGAACAGAATTCCTGAAAGAATTGTTGAACATGCTGTTCGTGGCATGCTTCCAAAAGGGAGGGTAAGTTCAACAATGTGTATTCTAAGGAGGCTTTCCTATATTAATAATATTTGATCAAACAGAAAAAAGTTTTTATACATAGTTGAGTTGAATCTACATTAATCAATAGTTTTGTTTATGCAGCTTGGCAGGACTCTATTCACACGCCTGAAGGTTTATAGTGGCCCGAATCATCCACATGAGGCGCAGCAGCCGATTGATTTGCCAATTAGGGATAAGAGAATACAGTTGCAGAGATAAAGTCAAAGATGTTGGATATGACAAACATTGATCATTCTTGTCTATTTAACTGAACATGGGAGCTTCTTGCATTAGCTGCTACTTGAATGTATTTCATTTGATGTTTATATTGTCTGTAGGTGTATCCAATGTCCATTGTCAAACTTTGTAAGGACTTTCCTTTTGTACCTTTGAATGTGAACAAGGCATTAACATTTTTTGACAGATGCTAAAGTGGGAGTAACATCACCCTCTCAAATTATTATTATTAGTATTATTGTTTATAGTTGCCTTGTTTTGCAAGTATAAAAACATGGGTTAAATATACAAATCTCCCTGAAATGTTAGCGAGTTTAGGTTTTAGTCTCTGGTAAAGTTTTTTTTTAATTCCCCCCTTATGTTATGTAGATTCTCTCACATAACCCCCCATTAGTCAGGTGGCATGGAATTTCCACCCATAATTTCATGCGTGGATTTTATATTTTGTTGTTTTTCAAATTTTTGTCCACATGTGCATGAAAGCATGGCATAATTGTTCTGATCCAACACCATACAACATTAGGGTTTGTTTTCCTCTGTTTCTCTCTGCATTTAAGGTCGTCATTTTGAAGAACATGTCGCCTCCAACTGTCTGCCGACATCTGTATTCATGGGTGGAAGCAAATGTTCATCAACGAGTAATCTAGATAAGGGTTTGCCAAGACGTGGGTGCAACAAAACCATGAAGTTGTGGGTATCTAACACCCTCGAAAATCCAAGAAGAAAATTCTTGAAATGTAGAAATTCCATGGTGAGTTGTTTATAAGGTTGTAATTCCTTTTATATTAACCTTTTCGGTTATTTGTGTGTTAATATTGATTAAAATTACAGAATGGTTGCAGATTGCTTGTCTGGGTCGATATGGTTAGCGAGGTTGAAGTGAATTCATCCAGATGCTGCGAATGTGGACTGCCCCAGGTTAACTGGATGGTGCCATGTCATGCCCCTTGTTGATAGGAGATTTGTAATGGAAGTGTCGTCCTTTTGAAGTGATTTTGCTCACTGAGAGAGTTTTCGTTCCTCCGAACATTCGCTGTATGAATTTCTTCGCTGTCAAACAAAAAAACCAAATGCAGACAGTGATATTCAAGCAATGCAAAGTTTATGTTTGTCTCGAAGTTTTGCAAAATGCATTTTTTAGCAGAAAACTTTTTATAAGACAGATCAACATATGATTTAGAGCAAAGCCTTACAGGAGTCAGGATACCTTTTGTAACAGTATGCTTTCGAACTAACCCATGCTTCAATTAGGACCTTTAAAAGGTTGTAACGTGGCTTGGTTCACGGTTTAAGAAACAAAGGATAAAGGCTCAAAGTATATTTGTACCCACCCGCTCTTCGTGATGTTCTTCATACCTAAGCTCAGTTAATTGTGCGTCACACTCTGTTTTGAGTTTGGAACGACTTTTGGGCGATGGTTCACCAGTTGAATTTGGGGAGACAGTCATCATCTCCTTTTTTCTTTTTCAACATTTTTCATGTTGTTGAGACTTTTGTAATGACCTCACTATTTTGATTTTGATTTGTTATCCCTAACTTTTGCCTGACTGTTCCCATTTTTCGAGATTACAGTCAGCGGGATGCCCCAGCTTTCTTAAGCCTCCTTTATAGGTTTTGGTTTGGTGGGCTTTTCTCTTTTGAGAGATTGACTGCCTATGTGATAGGGAACCACCCTTGTCTTTTGATTTCAAAGGAATGCTTTTTTTTTTGACGTCGTTCGTTGTGTTACGAACTGAGAGTTTGCGACTTCAATGCGCGTTTTTCTTTTGAATTAACTGAGATACTACCCTGCCCCAGGTTTATATCAAAGGTTTTGATTGTTTAGAACAGAAAACTCCTACTTCTTTGGCTCGAAGGGGTTGACTAGGGATTAACTTCCTTATAACTCCAGTGTTTGGGAATTGAAAGAAATGTCTGTACATCATCAGCAAGGTCTGTTCAAAAGCATACTGTATGAGATTATGGTATTGTTTCGTCATCCTCCCTCTAAAGGCTTGCAGCTTTTTATCAAGAGTCAGATATCATAAAGAAAAGCATAAGAGTAGTGAAACGAATGGATGATTTCAAGACAAACATATGCAATGCATTAATGAAAACAAAGTTTAACATCAACAGATAATTGTTTGACAGCAAAAGAAATTACAACTTTGAAAATTCAAAATGAAGCAAAAGTCTTTCAGCTTGAGCTTTGTCACTTCAGGTGGAGAACCCCTTAACGGAAGATTTTCATCTCGCCATCTGGCATGAATCCCAGCACTCCAATGTCGATCAGATCTTGAATCTTGTTCTTCAAGGCCCAACAGTCGTTGGTGTCGTGTCCCGGGCTGTAGGAGTGGTAAACACAAAATGCGTCGGGACGATAGTTAGGAGAGGAGGTATTGAGCTTCTGAGGAGGATCCCTTAAGGTAAGCAGGTTGACCTCCAACAGGCGCTTCAGTATAAAGAATGATGGTATCTCAGTCTCCGTGAACTGTCTTCCCGACGTTTCTTGCTTACGCCGATTACCCCGTTGACGCTGGCGAGGTTGTTGATGGGCTTGTGACCCTGAAGCAAGCGAAGGAGCCTTCCCCTTGTCTTCTTGAGTGGATGGAGGCTGAGCGGTGACTTGCTCTTCAACCTCAGATGTTTGCCCCAATTGGTTGTTTGGAAGCAGTTGGCGGACAAGAACTCTGAGTTCCTCTTGTCTTTGAGAAAGGTCTTGGATGAGAGCCATCTGGTCCACCAACTGTCCCATCACTTGGGTCCTCAATGTTGTCAGATCAAACTGCAGCTCCGCAAGCTGATCACTCCTGGCATTGTTTGAATTCTCCAAGCTCTTTGTGAGGAGAGCTTTCATTTCTTCTTTCCCCAGAGACAAGTTCAGGAACATTTCCTGCAGCTGAGCAGTCTAGTCTTGAATGTCTTTGACAGACCTTTCTAGAGCCATCTCTTACTGAAATAAACAGCATGAGAGTAAGGAAACCTGAAAAAGGAAAGATTGTTAAGATGCAATGCATGATATGTGGATGCATGCTTTCAAGGATCTTTTGGGGTAAACACAAGAAAATGTTAGAGGTTGAACTTTGCTCTTGGATTGGAGAGCTTTGCGGCGGTGGATGTCTTTCCACGAGAATCAAGCTCACCATGTCGAGTGGGTCATAGCCACTGATTCAAGTTGTTGCACTTGAACTCTGATTGGAGAACTTTGTATCGGTGGATGTCTTTCCACTAGAATCAAGCTCACCATGTCAAGTGGGTCATAGCCACTGATTCAAGTTGTTGCACTTGAACTTTGATTACATTGGTTAGAGGAGAAACCCCTTTCCCCTTGGTAGACGTCTGGTTCAACGTAACCCTGCATCAAAAGAACCTTCGAGATCCTTGAAATGGTTATTGAAAATGCTATGGTATGATGTTATGATGTTATGTACATGTATACAAAAAGCAAGTGAGTGTATATACAGACAAACAAATTCACACAAAGCAAACAAGTCCTTAGGTTTAGGCTTGCATGGGGTTTAGGTAAGTACCCTCTTGAAGTTAGTTGGCTCATCCTGTCCTAAAATAGAAACCGGGTTCTAAGGAGCTCAATATCATTGGATTGTTTTATGTGTTCATTGTTTCGGTTTAGCCACTTACTGGCGACCAAAATATTCCAAGAAAACAACCCTCAAATGAGTGTAGTATCGAGTATCTACCAACTTCGGACTGCACCAAAGTCGGTCATCTCACTACCCCTAAAAAGGCTAAGATGGTCAATTAAGGTTCTAAGAGTTCGTTAGTGCTTCACGACATCACTCAGCGGCCCCGTACTCTCCTTGACTGAACTCAAGGGTTACCGGTACTCACAAATATGTCACACTAACATAGCTTACTGCTTCAACCATGTCGGTATACCCCGCACAGTTCCCTCACAGTTTTTTTGCTATTTACCTAAGAAGGTGTCCCAAATCCGGGTGTAGGATTTACAACAAACCCAAACAAGAACCCAAAAGATAAAGCAATCAAGTCAATCAAAGCAAGAAAGTAAAGGTGATCTAAACCCTAAGGTAACCCCACTTTTAAGTTTGTCCCCAGCAGAGTCGCCAGTTCTGTGATACGGTGGGAGAACTGACTTGAGGTTTTGCATTTTGTTTTCGCAAATGTTTCGGTTGAGCAAGAGTCGCCACCGACTTTTTATTTTATCCTAAGGAAAGGTTAAAAAGCACAGAAAAAACCTTTGAGATGTTTTCTTGGGTTCGGGGAGTAGATTATAGAAAGGGAAGGTATTAGCACCCTTTCTATCCATGGTTATCCATGGGCTCTTAGTTACTTGCTTAGATCAACTTGCCTTTATTTTCAATTGTTTGAAATGGTGCTTTGTGTGTGTGGGTTTGAAAATGTTTTGAAAAGAAGCCAATGTGGTGACAACCTTTGTAATGATCCATGTTGGGATGTATACAAAAGGTGTATGTCTTTTGAAAAGGTTTTCAATATTTTTGAAAGTTGTTTTGAAAGTGTAGTGATGTGTGGTTTAAAAAATAGGCAAGTTTTTTGTTTTGCAAGTTTGATTCAAGTAACCAAGAGGTTGTCTACCCCTAAATTTCTCAAAGATTTCTCCTATGTTTTTAACCCTTTTAACAATTTTGTTCCACCATTGCATTTGGTGGACAATCTTGTGTTAGGATGTGAAAGGGACGGGCGCGGGTCATCGTTTAGACCATGATTGCAATGGTGCCAAGTATCTTTGGGCAATTTTTCCTTGGAGGGACTTGATCATTTTTTAGGCAACTTTCGAAAACGTCATCGAGGGACTATGATCATTGGAATTGTATTTGTTTTGCCCAAAGAGACCTAACATGCAATATGGCCCATTATTGAAGGCAACAAGTGGAATACCCTAGGGGTGCAAGTGTGATTAGTGTTGTCCATTTTCATGCTTGTTTATCTTGAAGTTAGGTCAAACTATCTTTTGGTTGATTGATTTGCATACAAACCCTAGTTCTAGCATGGCATATTTAGAA